AATAAATATAACAGTTGTAATAAATATAACAGTTGTAATAAATATAAACAGATGTAATAACTATAAACAGATGTAATAACTATAAACAGTTGTAATAAATACAACAGTTGTAATAAATACACCCTATGAATGTTCTGAAAACGAAGATGAATTTCTTAATAGACTGTCTTTTATTATGTCTTTTATGCAAGATAATCCGTCTACTTGCTTTTTTATTGTGGGGGATCTAAATGCAGATGTCGCAGATAATCATTCTATATTTGCTAAACATTTAATGCAATTCTGTCACAACAATGGCTTAATTCTTTCTACTAAGGTGCTTCTGCCTAATGACAGTTACACCTATATTAGTGATGCATGGCATACAACCTCATGGTTGGATCATTGTATCAGTACAGCAGATGCTCATGATTCCATCCAGGCCGTTCGTGTCAACTATGAATTTGCCACCAGTGATCATATACCATTTTCCTTGTGTGTAAATATGAACTGCATACCTTCTGTTTTGCCTGCAGACTATAATATAAGTATTGGAAAAATAGCATGGGATAACTTGAGTGAAACAGATCTATCAGATTATTATTACCATACGAACAACATGTTTAGCAATATGCACTTACCAAAGGGAGCAATCTCATGCTGTGATATGAACTGTAAAGACCCCCAACATGGTATTGAGTTATGTACCTTATATGAGAACATTGTGAAGTCCCTCCTTACCTCAAGCAAGCCACTGCAGGAAAATAGGTCACATAGCACCAAACCAGGCTGGAACGACTATGTCAGAGAGCATCATGCAGAGGCCAGAAGGGCTCATAAAGCATGGGTTGACTCAGGTAAACAGAGACATGGCCCCTTGTTTGAATACAAAAAACAAACAAATGCTCATTTTAAATATGTTTTTAAGATTTATAAGGAGAAATGAAAATACTATGAGGTCTGACTCTCTTGCCAAAAAGTTGGGAAATAATAATGTTAAGGACTTTTGGAATGAAATAAAAAAAGTAAATAACTGCAAAACATCACTACCAACTACTATTGATGGTGTTAGTGGTGTAAAAGAAATCACTCAGTTATGGCAGGAGCACTACAGTGCGCTGTTTAATTGTGTCAAAAGTGACACTTTTGTCATGAGAGGCATTCATAGTAATGAGAACGTGAACGTATCCCCACAAGAAATACATCATGCAATTATGACACTGAAAGACAATAAGGCATGTGGGATGGATAACGTTTCCACTGAGCATCTGAAAAATGCAAGTAAGAAACTCTGTGCATTACTCTCTATATGTTTCACTGGCTGTCTAGTACATGGTCTGTTACCTAATTCAATGTTATCTGTCATTCTGGTACCCATTATTAAAGACAAAGCAGTAAGATCAGCTCTTTGGAGAATTACCGACCCATAGCTTTAGCTAGTATTTTGTCGAAAGTTTTAGAAAGAATCCTTTTAAATAGGCTGGAAGAGTTTATCTTGACCTCCGACAATCAGTTTGGTTTTAAACCTAAACATGGCACAGACATGTGTATTTTTGCTTTACAGGAAATTTTAGACTTGTATAATTTGCACAACACTACAGTATTTATGTGTTTTATTGATGCTTCTAAAGCATTTGATCGTGTGAATCACCAAAAACTGTTCTGCAAGTTAGAAAGCAGATGTGTACCCAAATATCTCATTAGAATTCTTGTATATTGGTATGGTCATCAATCGATGTATGTTAAATGGGGTAACACCTTGTCAGATTCATTTAATGTTGGTAATGGAGTAAGGCAGGGAAGTATACTGTCCCCTTACCTCTTTAACATCTACATGGATGAACTATCAAAGCGTCTGACTTGTTGTAAAACAGGCTGTGTAGTTGGTGACAGCATTATCAATCACATCATGTATGCAGATGATTTGGTAATCCTATGCCCATATAGTGCTGGCCTTCAACAACTACTAAGGATCTGTTCCCAATATGGCTATGACTTCGACATCAAATATAATGCTAAGAAAAGCAATGTTATGATTGTTAGAAGCAGGGCAGATAAGCATTTGATAACCCCTGATTTCTTTTTATCTGGCAATGTCCTCAGTGCATGTAATGAAATTAAATATTTGGGACACTACATAACTGATGACCTGTCTGATGACCGTGACATCTGTAGGCAGTATCGTATGATGTATGCACAAGCTAATACTCTTATCAGAAAGTTTGGTATGTGTTCATCTTCTGTGAAGATAGCTCTTTTTAAAGCTTTTTGTACTTCATTTTACACGGCCCATCTTTGGCGAAGATACAAAAAAAGTAGCCTGCATAAACTCAATGTAGCATACAATGATG